GTGGCGGGCAGGGCGACGTGTGGGCGCGCTTCGCTGTGGGCCCTGGCGGCCTGGGAGCGGAGGAGCGGCGTGCCCTGGAGCGCGAGCAGGCGCGACACGGAGACCTGCTACTGCTGCCAGCACTGCGCGACGCCTACGAGAACCTCACAGCTAAGGTGCTGGCCATGCTTGTCTGGTTAGACGAACATGTGTCCTTCGAGTTTGTTCTCAAGGCGGACGACGACTCGTTCGCACGTCTGGATGCGCTGCTGGCAGAGCTGCGCTCCCGGGACCCTGCACGCCGGCGCCGCCTCTACTGGGGCTTCTTCTCTGGCCGTGGCCGAGTCAAGCCAGGGGGCCGCTGGCGTGAGGCCGCCTGGCAGCTCTGCGACTACTACCTGCCCTATGCACTAGGCGGTGGTTACGTGCTCTCTGCGGACTTGGTGCACTACCTGCGCCTCAGCCGCGAGTACCTGCGCGCATGGCACAGCGAAGATGTGTCCCTGGGTGCCTGGCTGGCGCCTGTAGATGTGCAACGCGAGCATGACCCGCGCTTCGACACAGAGTACAAGTCTCGGGGCTGCAGCAACCAGTACCTGGTGACACACAAGCAGAGCCTGGAGGACATGCTGGAGAAGCACCAAACACTAATGCACGAGGGCCGCTTGTGCAAGCAGGAGGTGCAGTTGCGCCTCTCCTACGTTTACGACTGGTCAGCACCTCCCTCGCAGTGTTGTCAGAGGAAGGAGGGCATCCCCTGAGCCGCTGCTGGGCAGTCCTGATGAATGTGGGCACGGGAAAGTAGAGGCCAGGCCAGGCCAGTCACCCTCTGAGGCCTGTGAGTGACACAGCTGAAGTAGTGAAGGAGGAGTTGGTAGAGGAGGCCATACGCTGTCTAAGCCTCCAGGTTCTGGCTCTTTGTCCCTGACAAGTCCAGCCTGATTTCTCCAGTGTTCTTTGAGTAGATGCCAAGCAGCACCAGATAACACCTACATCCCAACGGTGGTGCTGTGCCCAGGGGTTTTCACCTCAGTGGCCATCCCATCGTAGGTCTTGTTTTGGACTTAGGAGACAGGGTTACCATCACAAAGTATCACTTACAGTTAGAAATGGCCTGTGAATCTCAGCCAACATGAACCTATCCTGGAAGTGGGCTTTGGGTGTGAGGGCAGAACAGAACCTACCCTCCACCAAGGGGCTTACAGTGTCTCCCACCCCCAACTCCTCCTGTGACATGTTCTGGGGCCACTGCACTCACTGTCCACCTAAGAGGGCTCTGCACAGAGCTGTGAAAGCTGCAGGCTGACCTGCCGTCCGTGCGCTGCAGTGTACCTGTGTGTGGTCACCCAAAGCAGCTATCCTCTTCCATGTCTCTTGTTGGTTTTATCGTGTGTAAGTCAAAGATCTGTTTCATGTTCATTGGCTTTAATGGTATCCTGACCTTTATCTCCAGAGTGAATTTGTGGTAAATAGAATTCAGTATTTGCTTATGATTTATTTATAGATACTGTAAATTTGTGTAGATAAGAGTTTAAGTTGGGACTGTACAGGTCCTTTTTTTTTTTTAATTAAGAAAAGACTTTTATATCAGAACTTGGAATTTGTGGGTTAATCTGTTTGTACAACTTGAGTGTTCGACCCCGCCGCTGCATGTGTGTTTAAACATGGAAGAATTTTAAAACTGTCCATTTCTCTTTCAAGTTTACACATAAGTCAGTCCCATTGTCTCTTTGTGAAAAGATTTTCCTTTTAAGGCTTCCTGGTGGAGTGCGGCAGCCTCACAGGCCAGAGCTTCCCTGTTATTTCAGACTCTGGGCCCAAGTTCCAGGAATCTGAACCCTTGAAAGTGTTGACCAGACTTCCCAAATTCTGTCTTAAGAAAACAGGCTTTGTTGGCCGGCACCCCTGCCTGACCGCCTCTCACGTACCTGAACACATCTTCAAAAGTTTGGGGGTTCCTTTTTCGTTTGCCCCCATTTAATGTGAAAAGTGAATGCTGTGGTCTTTGCAGAAGTGAAATAAAGTGGTTCCAGGACTAAGAAGATGGCCATGCGCCCTCTCAACCTTTACTGTGTGCACGTATTACACATTGTCCTAGAATCTGACTTTTCTGTCTGAGAAGCCTAAGTTGTTCCTGCCATGGTATTTATCATCCCTCTTTGGGGTAATATGAAAAGGGGAGGGATACAAATACTGATTCGCCTTTTTATCACCATTCTTTTCAGTTCTTAAGCCATGAACTCAGAATAGGTTTGGGTTATTCTGTAAAGGTAGGAGAATACTCAGAACTAAAAGTCGCTGGAGTAAAGCCCTGGGCCAGAAAACAGGGAGGGTCTTGGTGACCTAAACTAATTCTGAGAAGGTACAGATGAGACCAGAGAGGTCCTGAGGTCTCATATGGTTACAGGTGAATAAGAGCTTTCTGATTGGCTCCCTGAAGCCAGTACTAAGTTCCCTGTGTCTACATTGTTTACGAGCAAGGATTGATGAAAGGACCTAAGGTTGGGGATACCAGGGTGGGCAGAATTGGGGCCCTGCTCTCCACAATGGGAGTGGTGACAGGTTCCCTAGGGATGCTGATTAACAGCAGGGTCCCAGATTACTTGAGTTGTCTTGTCTGAACCTCACAATTGATTCTTCTCCCCTCCCCAACCCCAGGCTAGGCTGCACCCCTCCAGCTCCCTGGTGCCACCCCACACCATGGCTCTTGGCTGTGCACTTGCGCAGCATTTTCTCCAAGGCAGCTCTCCCTGGTCTGACTCCTGGCTCCCCTGCACACCTCCCATCCACCAAGGCTCTTGCCATCCATCCCACACCATCTGAAGTCAAACTCTAAGCCCCAACCAGCCCAGAGCCCAGGAGGTAGCAGGCCCTCAGGAGACTGACAGAAGGACCACTGATTTCATGGGGCTAAAAACAGGATGCACAGCTAATTCTTCCCAGGCTGGTGTCCTTAAGCGACCCAGAGAGTCAGTTGTAGAGGGAGAGCACGTCAGGAGTTGGTACATAAGGCAATGAGCATCACCATGAGGTGCATGGCCCATGGAGGCCCATGACAAGGCAGGGTGTACAGGTCTGCCCTCTCCCTCCTGGGGCACTCCTGTCCCCTCCCACCCCCCACCCCCCAAGGCTGGCATGGAAGCAGTTGAGTAGGCTCCAGCTCCAGACAGGCCTATACCCTTGGTACTTGCCCACATACAGACTGCTGCCTGGGTTTAGGCCTTAGGCCCCCACACCCCTCTCAGACCTTCGGGTCTCTATCCACTTGCCCATCTGGGCAGGGTCTGTTCCTGGCTGCGATCATGGTTCTCTCTCTCTCTCTTTTTTTTTTTTTTTTTTTTTTGAGAGGTTTTTGTTATAGGGCGCATGCACTCGCCAGACAAACAGAAAGCGAGAAACCCCCCAGGGGGGATGATCACACCACAATCCCTTCTCCATTCTCTTCTCACCATCTTGGGCACGCACGCACACGCGCTCGGCATGAGTTTAAGCCACCGGGTCTGGGACTCAAACTGCAGTCAACTACATGGGAGTCCAGTGACATAGCCATGACGCTAACTGCTGGTCCTGCAATCATGGTTCTCAAGGCTCTGGTTAAAGAATGAATCATATATCCCAAAAGATATATTCAAGTCCTAACCCCCAGTACCTGTGGGTGTGACCTTATTTGGATATGATCAAGTTAAGATGAAGTCACTGGGCCTTTCTCCAATACGCCTGGTATCCTTTTCAGAAGAGACAAGACCAGCTGGTATGAAACAATATGCTCTGTGAGGCTGACTCATGGGAAGGTTCTGGGTTAGCATCTAGGCACATCCATGAGTACCCAGGCCAGGCACATGCCCGTGATCCAGAGCTGGCTGTTAGCAAAGGGGGATTGTGACTTTGGGACCCTTTTGGTGGTGCTGGCTCCCTTACCCTCTTTCTCTTGCTGTTTGAAAAACAAGGATGAGTCAGACAGTGGCACAGTAGTAAAACACTGCTCCAGGTATCCCACATGGCAAGTTTCCTGGTTCAAGTCAGAGACATTCCTGGGTATGGAGGGCATATGCTTGCCCATGACCTGGGGCTGGCTAAAGGCTGGGAGTGGACTATGGTGTCAGGATCCTGTTGGAATCTCTCTCTTTGCTTTTTCTCTCTGAAGAAATAGATTGATTTTTTTTTTTTTTTTTGAGAGGTTTTTGCTATAGGGAGCGTGCTCTTGCCAGAAAGACAGAGAGAGACAGAAAGCGAGAAATCACCCCCCACACACACAGGGGATGGCCATGCCACAATCCCTTCTGCTCCATTCTCCTCTCAGGATCTTGGGCACGCACACACACGTGCCTGGCATGAGTTTAAGCCACCGGGCCCAGGACTCGAACTGTGGTCGACTACATTGGCAGTACAGCAACATAGCCATTACGCCAAATGCTGGTCCTGAAATAGACTTTTTTAAAGGCTTTTCTCCAGTGTGCTCACTGGAGAGGGACAGAAAATGAGAAATCATCCCCCGGGGGGAGGGGGGGAGGGATGACCATGCTGCAATCCCTTCTCCGTTCTCCTGTTGGATTTTGGGCATGCACACACATGTATCAGCATGATTTTCAAGTAACCAGGTCAGGGACTCGAACTGTAGAGTCAGCCATGTGGAATCCAGCACCTTAACCACCACTCTACCTGCTGGCCCAGAAATAAATAAACTTTTAAAAAGACCCAGCCATTGTGGCACAGCAAAAATGCAAGTGCCCTGCAAGGCTAGAAGCTATATGGCCAACTGTGGGTTCAGATCCCAGGTCAGCTTGAAAATACCGAGCTGGAAGATAGGAAAGGGGATCATGGTGTGATGAGTCCCTGTCGGGGATGCTTTCTCTGTGTGCACGTGCTACCATTAAAAAAATAAATAAATAAAGGTGAAAAAGAGAAGGAAACAGACACATGGGGAGAAGGCAGCCTGTGATCCTGTGAGGACGGAGGCAGAGACTAGGGTGATGCTCTGCAAGCCAAGGGACAAGAATCGAGAGTAGGGACCAGCAGGTGGCACGAAGAGTGAGGCAGCTAGATGCAACATGGCTGACCCTGCAGTTCAAGTCGACCTGGTAGCTTGAAAAACACACCAGGCACATGTGCATGCATGCCCCAAAATCCCAAAGGGATAATCAAGGAAAAGAGATTGTGTTGTGGCTATCATGCCCCCAGGAGGTGCTTTCTCACTTTCTTTCTCCCCATCCCCCCCCAGCAAGCACAGATGCCTTATAGCAAACTTTAAATAATAATAATAAGGGACCAGCAGATGGCATAATGGTTACATCACCGGCCTCCCATGTAGCTGACTGTGGTCTGAGTCCCAGATCTGACAGCTTAAACTCACACCAGGCATGTGTGCATGTGTGCCCCAAATTCTGAGAGGAGTATGGAGAAGAGATTTCAGTGTGGCCATCTCCCCTGGGGGGTGATTTCTTCTCACTTTCTGTCTGTCTGTCTGTCTCTTTTTGTCTCTCTGGTGAGCACACACACCCTATAGCAGAAATCTCTCTTAAAAATAAAAAGGGGGGGGGGAACCAGCAGTTAGCATAATGGCTATATCGCTGGACTCCCATGTAGTCGACGAGGTTCGAGTCCCAGACCCAGTGTCTTAAACTCAGGCCGGGTGCGTGTGGGTGCGTGCCCAAGATCCCAAGAGGAGAATGGAGGAGAAGGGATTGCGGTGTGGCCATCCCCCTGGGTGGTGATTTCTCACTTTCTGTCTCTCTGTTTCTCTCTGTCTTTCTGGCAAGCACACGTGCCCTATAGCAAAAACTTCTAAAAAAAAAAAAAAAAAAAGGACCAGCAGTTAGCGGAATGACTATGTCTCTTAACTCCCATGTAGTCGACCATGGTTCGAGTCCCAGATCTGGTGGCTTAAAAAACGCTGAGCCGTGTGCATGCGTGCACAAGATCCCGAGAGGAGAATGAAGGGATTGTGGTGTGGCCATCCCCCCCACCGGGGGTGATTTCTCACTTTCTGTCTCTCTGTCTCTCTCTTTCTGGCAAGTGCACGTGCCCTATAGCAAAAAACAAACAAACAAACAAACAAACAAACAAACAAAAAAACCACCTCTCCAAAAAAAGAAGAAGAAATAAATAAGAAAAAGATTGAGAGTAGGAACAATGAAGAATTCTACCCAGAGTCTCAGAGGACGGGTGGCCCTACTAAGACCTTGTTTTCAGTCTTCTGACCTCCAGAACTGTGAGCAAATACAACAGTTTCCTTTTGCCATGACAGATCTTTTCCAAGACCCCTAATGGATGCCTGAAACCACAGATAGCACCCAGCCCTGTGAGTACTGTGATTCCCAAGCTGAGGCTAACAGGTGACTAACAGAAGGGTAGGTGTATACAGTATAGTACACGGACAAAGGGATGATTCCTGTTCCAGGGGAGGTGAAGTGGGATGGCAAGAGATTTCATCATACTACTTGCGTGTGCAATTTAAAACCTATGAATTGTTTCTGGAATTTTCCATTTCATATTTTCAGACCAGGGTTGACCAAGGGTAAAGGCAAAACTGCAAATGAGGGGCAACAACTGTGTATTTCTATTGTTGGAACCACTGGTGTGTGGTGTTTGTTCCAGAGCCCCAGGAAACCAGCACAGCCCCCTGTGCCCAATGCCGGAAGCC